ATTTATCATAAGGGCAAAAACAAACAAACACACACATATATATACATATAAAATGAAGAGGTCAGGCAAAAGAGGGAGAAAAAATCTCGTTGAAACAAAGAGTCGTAGACCAACCCACTGCAGCAAGTTCAGTCCTGCCCTCCTCTATTCCCACAGCACAGTCGCGTGTGGCTGTAGTGCGCTGTGATCGCAGAGCCTGCGTCCTCTCCTCCTGCCGAGGGCTCATTTCAAACTCTTACTGGATATTTCAACGTTTTTAAGGTGCGTTAAAGCTTTTTATTCTCCAACTTTTTTTTTAAGTTTGTTTCTTTTTATTCTGCGTGCGTAAAATGTATGACTCGCTTTAAAACTCATCAGTGTAGTTCATTTTGACTTCATATCGTGTGTTGGCCAGCTCTTACTTTACGTATGGCAATTAAGGCTAGACTCAGTTGTTAAATAAATAAATGGCAAAGTAAATGAAATAAAATACAAAAAGCACAGGGTTAATTATGTTATCTATAGGACTTGTAGGTTTGGAGAGGTTAATGCATATTTACGCATGAATAGCAAATGGCTCTCTATGAGCTGGGAGCTACTTTGAAGTTTTTATGTGTAGTAGCAGTGAAAGAAAACATTAATTTAAGAAATTAAAAAGCAGAAAACTAAAGCTTCTACTGCAACGAATTAAGGAAAATGATCAATTACAGCTTCCTCGTTATTTCCATTCAAGCTTAAACCATTTTCCTCGATGAATTCATTACAGCTATTTTGAAGTTGTTACAGTAAATGGTCATTTCCCGCTGGAGACTTCCTGTCCTCATTAGTCATTAATGTGATTCCAATCGAGTGTAGTCTTTTTATTATTGTTGTTGCATTTTCGAATATTGGAGTTTAAGTGATCCCCTGTTTCCTTTCCTCCGCTGTTTCACGTCTCACGTTTACTTTTTCCTCTCGTTTTATGCAGGTTCGCTATCATCGCCTCCTAGTGCGCGCCCCAAGCATTGAATATTTTGATTTTTGGAGGAAACTTTGTCATACCACAGGAAATCCTAAGTGATAGCATCAAAGGAAGGCTTTCCACCCTGCATATTTAAGTTCCGAAAGAAGAAACAATGCTCAGGTGGAGGACTGTATGACACCTCATCTGTGGATCTAACCTAAAATCAGAAAAGGCAAAGAAAAAAAATCTCTGGGAAACGCAACAACGTGCTGCCTGTGTTGCTGCAGCCCCATCTTTTACCCCGAGGCTTACCTCTGCAACTATGTCTGTGATGTTTAGTGAGTACCAGAACAAGACTATCATCACAGAGCACTACAGGTACGTGGGCAAGCTCGACAATGAGAAGTACCAGCAAGATGGACTCAAACCCGAGGCCATTGCGTTCCTGCTGGTCTGTCTGCTCATTGTTGCAGAAAACGCTGTGGTGCTTCTGGCCATATGGAAGAACAAGAAGTTCCACGTTCCTATGTACTACCTACTGGGCAATCTGACTCTCTCTGACCTGCTCGCAGGCTTCACCTACATGGTGAACATCATTACGTCTGGTGTCCACACATTAAACATGACACCTGTGATGTATTTCCTGCGTGAAGGTGGTGTGTTCATCATGCTGGCCGCCTCCGTCATCAGCCTGCTGGCCATTGCCATCGAGCGCCATGTCACCATGGTGAGGATGAAGCCGTACCAGGGCAATAAACAGGGGCGCATGTTCGCTCTGATTGCAGCGAGCTGGGTGCTGTCTGTATTCCTGGGTGTCTTGCCAGTCCTCGGCTGGCACTGCATGGGTAAACTGGACCAGTGCTCCACCGTCCTGCCACTCTACGCCAAGAGTTACATCCTCTTCTGCATCACCATCTTCAGTGCCATCCTCATGTCCATCGTGGTCCTGTACGTCCGCATCTTCCGCATCGTCAAGGCCAACACTCAACGCCTCGCTTCGGTTCCGCACCGGAAAGGTCTTTACCGCAAGTCCCAGAAGTACATGGCCCTGCTGAAGACAGTCACCATAGTGCTGGGAGTCTTCATCGCATGCTGGCTGCCTCTCTTCATCCTCCTCCTGCTGGATTTCTCCTGCCCAACCGGAAAGTGCAAGGTGCTCCATAAGGCAGACTACTTCCTGGGCATCGCTATGATCAACTCTCTTCTTAACCCCATCATCTACACCCTGACCAGCAAGGACATGAGGAGGGCCATCATCAGGCTGCTCTGCCGACCCTGTCTCATGACAGAAGACGGGCAGGTGAAGAAAATCGGGATGCCCTTCCTGGATTGTAGCACCACTAAGACGCAGACGGATGCAGCTTCACACAGGCTGGAGGGCCTGGACACGACAGTCTCCTCCGGTAACTTTACACCCTCGACGATTAAAGCCATTTATCCTAGGATATCCAGGACATGACACTGTGCCTCGCTCTTGAATTAACACTGACAGCAAGCACTCGGACTAAGAACTTTGCCTCTAGTGTGTGATTCGATTACCCCTTATGAACTAAGACGCATTATCGACTATGCAACAGAAGTTGAAGTTTTGTGTTGTGCACTCTGACATTGTTTCAGTTCTCATCTAAAGAATGTGCAACATGTTTGTGGCGATGTCCAAACAGGGAGAAAGACCTTTATAGTTAAGCATTCAGTGTAAAAATATAAACATTTATGTTCACAATTCATATAAAAGTGTGACAGTGACTAACAGAAACATCAGTGCCTTAAATAGTAGCTTTAAGTTTCATGTAGGAAAACAACAACAACAAAAACAGCATTAGTTTTTTTCTTCCTTTGACTTCTTAACAAGGCCAGTATTCTGATTGAGCACTTAGCAGTGTTTGCACGTACAGAGAAATCAAAGAGTGTGTGCAGATGTTTCACATAAATGCATTTTGATAGAGTGAAACCAAAGCACGAGATTCATCCTTATCTCTCCTCAGCCTGTGTAGCACATAATGATATGTTGTCATAAATGTGGAGCATCCACACCCAGCAAAGCTGCTGCCAAACCCATGTAATTTCTGCCATATGAGTTTCTGGTCAGTGGCAATGCTCAGTAGAGGCCCCCCCTTCCTCTGCCAACATCATACGCTCAGCGGCCTAGAGGACGTCATACGGGGGGGCTGAGCTGGGTGGTTCGCTGCTTTGGAGGTCCTTTTAACATATGTAGCGACACAAGATGAATACCTAAAAGCAATAAAAGCTGACAGCGGAGGCTTGCAGACGCCTTCTGGGTTTGACAGAGCAGTATGTGGCAGTGAGATGTTTTACTGTGGACTTTGGAGAAAGCTCGAGCTCGTTGTGTTTGATGAAATGATGTAAACTTTTTTTCCCCCTCAGCTTTAACTGATGCAGCAGCAACAGTAGCGACCGATCACAACCCATCAGTGTGTGCAACCTGGTGAATTAATTCTGTAATTATTTTAATACTGTACATTAATGAGAGTAAAATATATATTTACAGTTTTTTGTAAACTTTGTAAATACTTCTAACCTACTTGCGTAGTATTTTTTTGTATAATTGTCATTTAAGTTATGATGGTTTTATAAGTGCACTGAATAAAAATATGTGAACGATTTTTACATCGAGGTTTTTGTGTCTTCTAAAGTTTCACAAGTCTCACAAGAGGTCGACATCCTTCCTGTTTCTCGCTACGAAAATATCTATACTTATACCTGGCACTTCCTGACATATACAATAGGAAAACAATAAAATTACCAACTCGAGATATAAGAAAAAGTCAGTAATAGACAGGTTTAAAAATGTCACCTCCCTACCACCTACTGTACATGGAGAAAAATGTGAAGTCACGCAATAAATGATGTGCTTGTAGCACTTTGTGTTTGATTCGACACATTTCTGGTACTCTGAGACGAACAACACCGTTACTTACTAAAGCTGGTCTTAAATTATCACGCCGCTACTTAATTGATACTAAAATACCTAAACCGACCATAAGTGGAGCATTTACCAAGTTACACAGAAGCATCGCTTAAATAATTCGGCAGAACTGAAAGCTCAAATACCTACTCAAACATCATCAAAGGAAAGCTCAAGAATACTACACTGGAACGCGGGCTTAAGTGACAAAACCCCACCTCCATGGAAACCACTTGCCAAAACCACCGAATGATGTGTGCTGAGGCAGAGGTATCGATGAAGTTGCAGAAATAAAAAAACAAAACTGTGCGCTTAATGCTCTGTTTACCGTAAGGAAACCACATTCTGGTAGCTGTGAATTTATGTCTCCCTAAGTCTGTATATGTCATCCTGCCCACTCTAAACCAAACACCATCCTGCAAAGAAAGGGGTGACTTAGTTCTTGTAGAACAAGGCCTGAGGGTATATAACACAACCCACAGTGTCATGCGTGGGCAACCAGAATACTTTATATTTGAAAATCTTTCTCCTGCTGCAAATGCACAACTTGCTAGTTCAGCAAAGCCACATATAAATGATGCCGGGGGGATTTTGATGGCCTCGTAGTTCATGTTTTACTTTTGAAAAAGAAAAAGAAAGGCCCAACAACAGCCACTGCAGACTGGACATAGAGGGGAAAATTCAAAAAAATAACTAAACTTGATATTTTTATTTGGATGTTTAAGGTGATCAATAAAAACTAAATAGAGCTAAAATTACAGGAGTGTGATTGCCAAATCAAACTAGATTCTGATAATAAAATTACACTGAAAAGTGTAAAGCTATTAAATTAAATAGTCTTAAATAAATTAAGACTACCTTGATATGGTGACGTTAATGAAGGGGAAAAAATGAAAACCTTTATTTACTGATTTAACCTCTAAATCTTTTTTAAAATCTGTCAACAGCCTTTTCCTTTAATCTTTAAACTATACAACTCAGTAAAGCAAAATGCCATCTCTAAAGACATTTAGAAAAGCTGTAGATGACACTCTACAGCGACATCTAGTGACCGTCAAACCACTCAGTCTCATCCCATCCTCATTACTGAAACACATTAGACTGAGGGCACCCCGACCAACATTTTAGGCACTAAACAAAAAGGCACAAATCCAAGGGTGTGACAATTTTAATTTTTAAAAACACGAGAACAGAACACGCACTTCCACAGACAAACAAAAATAACACACTCAACACCTCTGACTACTTCACATCCGTCCTTCGGCTACCACTCGGTGCTGACGAAGCCCCAAAGCTGGTCGCTTACATCAATGCGAGAGCGCGAGGTGGTGTCGATGTTGATGGGGGTTGCCAGGTCTGCACCATAGTGCACTGCAATGTAAGGAAAGAAGCTGATGGTCTGAAGCCACATCAACACCAAACTTCAAGTAGAGAGAAGATGGTACACTAAAAATGAGAAAACATGACTGTACCTCCTTTTAAAATGTTCGCCGGGGTGTCATATTCCCACTTGATCTTGGTTATTAGGTAGTAGACCTGAGCCACGTATCTGTTTAAAAAAAAAGAGAGAAAAGAAACAAGAATAAACAGAATTCACAAACAGTGCTTCAGATCATCTCTGATTACATGCCTGCACAGTGCAGCGTTTAAAGCTCTTTACAGATATGATAGACATGTAGACAGACATGTTGCCTTTTCTATTTTAACAGGAAGTACCATAAAAGGGTTAGAATATAAAAACAAAAGGAAGTACTGGTACCATAAAAAACAAACAAACAATTGATTAAAAAAAAAAAAAAAAATCAAGATCTGGCCATAGTGGTAATTATTCAAACTCACAACATTGTTTAAAAAGCATATAAAAAGTGAAATACTCGAGGTGGGAATAATCAGATACAATAATATTGAGATTTTTAACATTCTGGATCTGCTGATTATTGCAGTACCTTACATTGTGATTTAGCACCTTTTTCAACTGCAAATGATGTCCTCAAAGTTAAACTTTGTCAGTTTTATCCAATGCGATAAAACTGAAGTTCTCTCACTTCAGTTATTTTTTGCTGAAAGATGATATTATCAAACATACCAACACTGACACTTAAACCTGCCATTAGACAGCATCAGTCTGCAATCAGTCTGATACTGAATGGGGTCAAGCTGGCAATTACATGCAATCTATTTCTGATAATACACCAATTAATTGTAATACAACTTCAAAAATCACTGTTGCTGTCTACATAGACAAATTCACATTTAACAAAAATTGATATTTAATTATTGCAGTGAGCAATCTGTATTTCGAAATCAGATAGTTATCCGCAAACCTTCAACAATCTCTCTGAGTGACTGCGGTCAGTCCAAGTCAGAGTGCAACTGTTTGGAGAAAGGTTGCCCCCTATCAGGTGAACCGTGCAATCGCAACTCAGTCACCACAAGTTGCAGAATGCGAAAAAAAATCAATAGGAAGTCACCGACCGTAAGAACACTGCTGTTGTGTGACTCAGCCATTAGATTGCTCTGAAATAGGAGGTAGCTTTGCCAAGCTAAGTGTAACCAGTGTTGATTTAATGCAAGTTTGCTCAGCCAACATTATACCAGGTGGTGCATGAGATGAGCCCTCGTATTCGTCATACTCCCTGACTATTTTAATTTATTATTTATTAAAATGTTCTTTGTAAAGCCTTAATTCGATTGCTGATATAAGCATATTCAAACTTTGATCATTCATATCCAGTATGCATAATAAGAAATGCTGTTTACACCAGAGCTGTCAAAAGCCCGGGCAACATTAAAAGGCAACCGTTTGGAGAAGCATAGCAGTTACAAAAACAGCCAACTGGAAGTGCAGGTTTGCAGCAAATTCAGAGGAAAGATTTCCACAAACACCCACAGGCAACAAACTCACTTCCTCTTCCATTTAACTTTATCAAAACTTTGATTATTGTCATAACTGATTATTTGTTAATCCTGACTGTCAAGATGTGTCTTCATTGCATTAAATATTTGACAGTAAAGTGATTTTTTTTAAATCACCTTTAATGGTTGAATATTGTAATGCTAAATAAAAAGGTAAACATAAATTATTTTTGCAGAGGTCTGTGCACATCTCTGGCAACTACAGGCATGCCTGCTGCTTTTTTTCCTCTCTCTGTGATATTTATAGGGCAATGCTGATGCTAGAATGCAACAACAAAACAAAAAAAACCCCTGATGTTCACACTTTGCTCCATGTGCAGCCTGTTAGGCATGCACAGCACAGTGAGATTGTGACATAAAGCTGGTGTGTCAGGCAAGATGAATTTTATGATCATGTTTTTGCTGTTTGGGGTGATCTCTGCTCGTGAAAAACAATGATTTACTTAGCTACCTCAGGAACTAAGGTCAAAGAAACACACGCTCACAGTTCTAATCTCATGCTTGCTTATGCATTAATGTGACTTTTTTTGGAATGACTGCATAACTGAACCACCACTACCATCCATCTCTGCAAGTCAAACACACATTAAAAAGTGAACTTTCCAGACCATGAGAACCATTTCTGAGAATTCAATAACTTAAACATGACTTTTTAAGAACCATCTCACATCCATCCTGATAAAAAAGTTGAAAGAATTTAAAGAAAAATCCCAGAATTAAAAAATATCCAGATTGTCTTCACTGTTCACACTGAATGTTGTTGTAACATGTAAAGTTGAGAGCATCTGCACTTTTACTGTTGATGCACAACTGCACACATATATATTCTTAGACTTGTCTAAATCTTATTTGAGATGAAACCCTTTTTTAACTAACCGTACCACACTCACACTGCTGAAGGGATGACCTCGGTGGTGTCTTCTTCGACTTCACTCTGAAGAATCTCGAGCTCATTTTCAGCGTTTCTCAGACTTTCCAACTCTTTTTGAAGAAACCTGGAGGAGGGTTCAGGATAAAATGGACTTGTTTTATAGCCGTTTTTCTTCATGACAAACACACCTATAAAAAAGGATACTGTAATTCTGAGTCAGTGATCTGGCTCTTCGCTGTGCACTGCCTCAGCTGCTCCTCCAAGCTCTCCAGCTCCTTCTCCCTTCGCATCTTCTCCTGTTCCATGTCCAACAGCCTCTGACCTGCATTCTCTTCAATCTGAGCCAAATCTGAGGATGGAGGACAGCGACACACAGAGGGAATACAATGAAGTTTTTCTGACACAGACAGTTTACACGAGTGCCACAAAATTTCACAGCCTTCCCTTTGGATTCATGTGCCCATGAAAATGCACACGATGGTGTAAAAGGAACAAACGGGCTGTTTGCTTACCTTTTAAAATCTGTGTGACAATCTTCGCTGTTTCTGTGTGTTGATCAAAAAGAGCCTGATGCTCATCTTTCAGTCCTTTCAGTTTGTCAGGCTGACTGCTGTTGATGAATCCCACCAAAGCCTCCCCAGTCTCCTCCAAGTCTTGAAATTTATGACCTTGAGCCATAGTGGGCAGCTAGAAAGCAAAGAAGATACTAGATTAAAGTGAAAACATGTCGGCTAATGCTGTGAAAGAGTTTATGAAGACTCATTAAGCTTCAGGGGTAAACATGCAACCGTGAGAAACACCCAGATGAGTTAGTCTGACTGTGTAATAACACAAAGTAAAGTTTGAGTATCTTGATAATTCCGTTTAACAAGGGGAGGAGATTATTTTCGCTCTTGGACATACGTTCCTGTTACAAACTGTACGTTAAAAAGTTTAGAAAACATTACTTTCCATTTTAAGCGCTATAGGTGAAATTTTAAGGCCCATAAAGACTTGTTTACGTTTACGAATCAAAGCTTCCTTTGAACGGTAGTTGCGTATCAAGCTAGCATGCTCTAAAAATGCTAACAAACACAGTACGAGTGCCCAACAATATCCTCCAGGGTATGTCAATCAAGTAACAACAGGGCTATGGAAGGAAGAAGCATGTTTTGAGGTCAAATTAGAACAGTAAACATACCGACTAGCACTCCTCCAGGATTCAAATTCATCCGCTGAGCGCGCCGCTTCTTTTCTTCTTCGTTGGTAGTAGCCTGACTTTCAGACCGGCCTTAAGCTCATACCGCCCCCTAATGCCAAATTAGGGGGCGGTAGTCAAATGACAAAACATGTGAGGACTACTTGACTTTACAGAAATTCCTGTTGTAATTTTACTTTAAATTTCCCACTTTAAGTGATTTTAACACGCTGGTTAATCATTTAACATTGCAGATGTCGACCTCTTAAAACAGCTTTGCATGAGGAATTGAATAAGGTACAAGTTTTGTGTATTGATACACTTTCAACCCTGTTCCCCCTTGTTATTTTTCCAACTATAGTTGGAAATGTTTTTTTCCCCAACCACTCGCTTTTGAAACTGGCCAAAACAAAAGATACAACCCACTCAATACAGCAAATTGATTTTGCAGTTATAAGACAGGCCGACCAGCAGGCTGTTTTGAGCACAGAGCTATGATGCACTTCTAAGAGCCCCCGTGGATGACATTTAAAACAAACCACAATGCCATTGGGGTTTCAGAAATTAGCAAGTCATGCAGGTTCTCAGGGGTCCAGTACATCAATGAGCTGCTGCCAGATCTGAGTCATAAATGCCTGACATACAAAAACCACCCACACCTAAACATAAGCGGGCACAAATGACTCCAACCAATGCAAGAGTAACAAGATTACACAACAGAATTGGAGCTTCAGGTTTTCATAGCTACCATTTAATACACATTTTATTTACATTATACAGTCAAAAGGGTCAATGTGAAGAAGTGAAACATTTGGAAAATTTGCCATTTTTCTCCGTGCTGTATTTCACACCATGATTATGAAGGATTGTATCTGAAACAGTGGCAGAGCTGTCACTCTTTTTTCTGCTTCTCCTTCTTCTCCTGAGCTTTTCGTTTTTGTCTGCCGAGCTGTCTGAAGTACAGTCTCTTGGGGTTCAGGCCATAGGCCTTCAGTCTCTGCCTACTGAACTCCCGGCCGCCTATCTTCACCCCGATTCTTCCTGAGAGCATACGACCACCTGAATGCTTGTGCTTCTTCTTAGACCATTTCGGTCTCGCAGTCCCACTTTTCACTTCTTCTGGTTTAGCTGCTGACACCACCTCCTCTGTAATCTGGGGTTCTCCTTTATGTTTCTTCTTCTTGGGAATCAGAATCTCCTCCTCGTCCTCAATGGCATCCCCGGCCTCCTGAAGAGCCTGAACAAGAGTCTGTTCTGTAGAGTCCACAGGGGGTACTGCACTACCATCCTCTGCTTCTGTGTTTTGCTTCTCAGCGTTCTTCAGACGATCTCTTCGCTTCTTGCCCACCTTTGTCTTGGCCTCAATCACATCTTCATCGCCTCTGTAGGGTAAATTAACATAGTCACATATTGATAAAATGATTGGAACACATTCATTAATACAGTAGATCAATATGTTACTCACTCCAGATACACAGAGTTAAGGATTTCTCTCTTCTTCCTGTCATTCTGAGCCTTGATTTTATAGTTCTTCAGATCGCTCAGCTCTTCCTTTTCAGACCTGTCAAAGCAAAGAAGAAAAGTTGAACAAAAGACATCAGATAAAGGGACGAAACGCTTAAAAGAAGACAGAACCAGCGTACCTGAACATGCACGTCTTCCTCAGAGAGCACCAGCGGTTCAGCTCCTTGTCATTAGCCTTTATAATCTGCAGAGAGGAAGCAGCCTCATTAGTTCAAATCAATTTTTGGATAATTTTGCATTTGCTGCCACTTCATCAAATCCCTGTGTGGTCTGCTCAGAGAGAAGATTAAGCTGAGATCATTCCCTGGTCAGAGCTCTCCCCAGAAGGAAGCAATACCAGATCAATCTAGCCAAGGCTCATCACCGCAGAACAATTCACCTACAGCCTAAACACCGTCTCCCGCACATGCTCTGCAGCTTTGAACTCTTCTATATGCTGGTGCAGGTGGGAACAGAACAGAGTTGGGTGTCATGTGCCCGGACTCATGCATGGCCAGATCAAATAATGAGAGCAAATGAGATTATCACTACTGCAACACATCCATGACATCATTAAGAGCCAATATGGAGGCTACAAGAAGACTGAAACACTGAGGACACAGCTAAGTGAGCTGACTTCAGCTTAATGTGGTAATCATCATTAACCTGCCACTGTGCAAAAATGAAAAGCCTGCAAGTGCAACCTCTCTCACCTCATCTGTGGTCAGGCCAAAGTCATTGGGCACCACCTGCCTGTAGCGAAACCTGCACGGGAGGTCATCGATGATGTCCTCGTAGTCCAGCTTGTAGTACTCGTCCAAGTACTGCTCGAAGCTCTTCTCCTCTGAAACGACAGCGCTCCATTAGACAACATCCACGCTGTGTTAGAGAGCACGCGCAAGCTTTAACGGCACTTACGAGGATCAAACACAGGTTTGTTCTTGGTGATGACCTCTGCAAAGTGAGACTTCTTTTTTTTCTTGCCCATTTGAGGCAGATCCTCCTTCTTCATCATCTTCCTCTCCTTTTTCTTCTTCTTCTTGGAAACTGTTTGCTGACTGGGGTCATAGTCTGCATCCATCTGCAGAAACAGGTTTAAACAAAGATCTTTTAGTGAGAGAGACTGTTGATCAGGACAATCAGCATCAGACAACTGATCAGTAAGGAGCATAAGCTCACATTAAAGTCTTGATCCTCGCAGTAGGGTTCGGCAGCACTGTACTCCTCTCCATCATACTCCTCGCCGTAGTCCTCCTCGCGTTCCTCTCCGGTCCAAGTGTCCCAGTTCCAGTGCTCTGTCACACACAGGAGGTTGTGTTCAGACATTTATGCAAAAAATAAACTGAGCGCCACAATCACATCAACTTTCTACTCATGACTCAGTGCAACCACAAATGTGTATTTAGCACATGTTAGCTTCAATCTGATTAAAACTGGCTTCTCAGTTAGCTCACCCTCCAGCTCATCATCGTCCTCAAACTGAGGCTTCTCATCCTCCTCCGCTCCGTAGTATTCATCGCCAAAGAATTTCTGCAAACACAAACTGCCGGTGAGGTTAAACAAGACTTTCAGTTCCTCCTTCGACCTCCTGGTTTAAATGCTGAAGCAGAGAAATCTGAAAAAAGGCAACGCAGCTGTGTGAACCGCAGGAGGCCGGCCATCGTTAAGGTCAACGCCGACAGCTGATGCTTTGCTGCTCCTGCTCTGGATGTGAAGCTTTATCCATATTACAATCATAGCAGGTAGCTTGTTTACGCCACTCCCCCCCTTCTCTCTCTACAACTGAAAAAAAAATACATTTTCCATAAATGAGTCCAAATTTTGGGTTATAATCCTTCTGTTTAATCTCTCAAGTCTCAGATCAACCCTAACAAGGTTTCAGAAATTTCTTCCCCAAAAAAGATTTTTTTCAAATGTTATATGACATCAAGTTGTTTCATTGTTATCTTGTTACTTATCACTGGAATATAAAACCAGAAGTCCTCTAAATGTGGGTAGCAATAAATTTTCATACTTTCCTTTGTGATCCACCATCATATGCCACTGACTGTTTGGCTCCTCCCAACAGAGTATATGTGGGTTTTATCTCCTCAGTGTGTGTTTGTGTGTGTAGCAGGATTTATGGTCCCGCAAATGTGTCTTCCTTACATCAAGTCCTGGTAAGTTTTACAGCAGATTCTAATAATTTCTTCTCAAGTCACCGCATGCCTTGGCATGTCCGTACCTCTCTGAAGGTTTAACCCTGCACACTCGCACTAGATCAGTGTGTTGCACTGAGCAAATGCTCCCAGCTGTCCCTACATCCCGATTAAAACACAGGTGAATTTGCCCTCTCCAACACCAAACATTAAAAACTGACATAAAATAATTTTTTTACAATTCTTTTGCTTCATAAAAAATAAGCTAAATTCTGGCATGTTTATTTTTTGTTATTTTACATGTTTTGTTTTTTTTGTTGATTAACATGTTCTATCCTAATGTTTTATCATTGCAGTGTGCAGCACCTTTTTTTAGCTTTAGCAGCTAATACCATTCACTCTATGACTACATCGTGGTAAAGCGTTATGCGTATAAAAAGCAGCATCCTCACCAAATAAATTCGAACAATTGTTGTTCACTGGTGTAAAGCCTGAAGTTTGTTCGGATGATTATGTACTTGTACAGGATAAAGGTTAAATCTAACCTTTTTTTTTTTTTTTAGCTAGTTGTCATGATAAAAGCTAAAAAGCCTGGGATTACAGAGAACCACACCTTGGACTATCTGCACAGTAAACTCCACAGAGACTCTCAGTTTTCATACATACAACATGGCAGCAGATGGCCCCGCCCCTCCCTGAGCCTGGTTCTGCCAGATATTTCTTCCTGTTAAAAGGGAGTTTTTCTTCCCCACTGTCAACAAGTGCTTCCTCATATGAGATCATCTGATTGTCGGGGTTTTGTCTGTATTACTGCATTGCTAGCTTTACCTAACAATATAAAGAACCTTCAGACAGCTATTGTTGTGATATTTGGGGATATATAAATAAAGTGTGTGTGTGTGTGTGTGTACACTGACCTGCATGAGCTGGTCGTGCTGTTTTGGATCGAAGTCTCCGTCGAGGTCTGCTTGATCGAAAGCGAGCTGCTCGTTCCCCGTCAGCTCCTGGAGCTTCTTCAGCTTCTCCATAATCTCTTTCCTCTTCAGGTTCTTCAGCTGCTTCAGCTGCTCCTGCTTCTGTTCTTTCTCCTGAAGTAATTTTTAGGAAAGGGGTCAAATATTAACAAACGAATAAAGGATCAACTTGGATTCCTGTGGGGTTTTTTTTTTCCTTCCTTCTCCTACATGATCCACACCTTTTGCTTCCTTTCTTTAATTTCCTCCCTTTTGCGTTTCCTGCGGTCGTCCTTGGTGCGCACAGAGGTGGCGATGTTTCGGGGGTAGGTCTTGACCTCTTGAGAATCGGGCTCTTCAAAGCGGAAGTTGTAGCTCCTCTCAAAGTTCTCCTGGCGCTCTAAGAAAGTCTCCCCCTCCTCCTCTGAATCCTCCACGTCATCCTGGACCACCTCATCGTAGGTTGGGATCCTGCATGTGGCCCAATAAGTCATTGTTAAAGCTGGCAGTGTTTCTTCACTTCACGAGTAAGTCATAAACCAACTGGTCCTCCACATACCGTTCATCATCATCATCATCGTCATCTAGGTAGCCCTTGTTTAGCACGTAATCCCTCAGGAAACGCTCCTTTTCATCCAGCTCTGGGTCATTCCAGTAGTCTTTTAAATATTTCTATATCAACACAAACCATTTATAACCAGTCAGTTAAACACAAACATCTTTCTCAACCAAAATGTAACTTCCTGAAGTCTCTCCAGCCTTTTCTACACACACTCACCATGTCCTTCACCTCCTCTGCACCCTCGAGTTCTCCCTGGCCTTTCAGCCACTCCACATAATCTGCCTCTTCTTTATCCTACGAGCATCCACAGATAAGTTTAACCTGACCTGAAAATCATCTGTAAATGACGCCAATTTAAAGATGAAGAGCACCAGGTATCAGCTTCTGACCTTCTCCTCCTGTGTTTTGATCCTCTTGGTCAGCAGCTGGGATGCTCTGTCTGCTTCACCAGCTTCATCATCGTCATCGCTGTCCTGGATGAACTTCCGGAAGCTGCAGAGAGATTTCGACTTCAGTAAGAAGCCTTTGAGTGAGAGAGCAGGACAGCACGAGGTGTCTCTTAACTTACCTTTCCTTCAGCTCCTTCTGCTCCTGCATGTAGCTGGGAGAGGCGGCTCTCTTTGAAGGAAAACAGAGGTGATGAATGAAAGCATCAGTTTGTTCATTCCTAAGGAGACATATTAGTGAAGAACTTTGCCTACCTCTTTCCTCTTGACAGCCTCCTCATCATCGCTGTCGTCGTCATCATCTTCATATTTGCTGCAAAACAAGAACAAGACGTGTTACAGGCAGAGAATTAAACAGGAAACACATGAAGGAGGAAAACACCAAATGCTTCCTGACCCACTAAGTAGCAAATCAGGGACTAGCTTTCTTTGGCATCTTACAAGATCTGTGTAATTAATTATAAATACACTTGCTGGCCAATACATTAGGCACACCTGTTCAACAACTAATCGCGCAATCACATGGCAGGAAGTCAGTGCACTTAGACATATGGACCATAGTCAAGACAACCTGCTGAAGCTCAAACGAAGCATCAGAATCAGGGAAGATTGTAATTCAAGTGACTCTGAAGATGTGAAAGTTTCTTCAACATGACAATGAATTCGCTGCGCTCAGATGGCTTCCATTCATAGGATCTCAATCCAATGGAGCATGTTTGGGATGTGGTGTTTCACTTCATGGATGTGGGGCTAACCAATCTGAACCAAATGTTTAATGCTGTCATGTCAGTATGAACCAAAACCTCTGATGATTGTTGTTGAATTGATGCTACAAAGAATTAAGGCAGTCCAGAAGGCAAACAAGGGTGAAAGCAGGTAATAGCATGGTGTAACTAATTAAGTGAGTGTATGATTGTATATGAGTGTATATTGCATCCCTACCATGTCATTTTGTGACACTTCCCAACCAGAACACCTCAACCTTTTCAGCATTAAGTAAAATATTTTTCATATCAGACACCATATCCATCAATACCCATATTGATGTGTCAATATCAGACAGTAATAGCGGCTTACCAGCACATTAGTCAGGCTCTAATTTGGTACTACCTGTATATCCCTGATTGATGTAGTCTCACGCTATTTGATGCAGTTAAACAGACTTTCACTCACCCTTCCCTTTCCAGGATGACTTTTCTTTCATAGTCTTTAAGATACATGGGCTTTACTGCTTTCTCCTTCGAGGTGGAAGGTTTTGCATCACTGCTGGATGCGCCTGAAAGCAACAGGT